TTTTTTTTTTTTTTTTTTTCAAATAGTTATTTGTAATAATGTTTTATCTCTAGTTTATATTTATACTTTTTTTCTTATCTTACTAGTTAAGATACAAATAATATATAAAAATATGAAATATACCAAAATACAATAAGATAATTATATAAACTTTCAATAATGGATTCAATCATAAAATATGAAAATATTTGTAAATATTTTTAGGATATTCCTGTAGCAACAAATTTTATAAAAAACATAAAACTTTATGTACAACTTGAATATATTTCGATCAAATGATATTGCGGGTACAATCTCTATTTATCTACTCTGATTCTTCTCTTCATGAATTTGGGATTGAGACCTTCAAAGATGGATTTGAAGGATGAATCTCCTTCGGGCTTGGTCTTGAATTTCTCTAACATTAATTTGGGGGTCGAATGACTTATTTCCATATTAAATGTTAGTCTTGACTTGATTGAAAATGACTTTTTGGAAGAATTGATTCTTTGATCTTCTTGAAAGAGAGACTCTGACTTGAATAACGTTGATTCGAAGGCTTGATAGCTTTTTCCCGGATCAAATGCTATGTTGGTTGAACTTCTCATTGAACGCGTTTGAACGTCGTTCTTCATTGAATGGACTTCGGGCGGTTCTTCAAGAACTTCTTCAAATCTTTAAGAGGGTTCTTGATAGCTCTTGAATTTGAAACTTTAATATTTGAGATGTGTTTGATATTTTTGAGGTGTGTATGAGAGAGCCCTATTTATAGTGTAGGAGAGAGAGTCTTGGAAAAGAAGACATCAATTTGATTGGTCCTTCTTGATTTGATATAATCTCTTTCCTTATCCTAAGATTGATTTGGTGGGCAACAAATAATAACTTTATTTATTGAATATCTTATTTATCATGAATTTATGTCCCAAAATAAATAAAGAGATTAATTAATAAAATATTAAAATTTCGATGTCTACAATTCCTAAAAAAAGTTTGAATTAATTTGTGAAGGGTTTGAGAAAATATTGATAATAAATTCAAATAATATAACCTTTTAAAAATATTATTAAAATTTAAGATAACAAAAAATGTAATTTTTTACTTACTGAAAAAATATTTATTCAATATTTTTTATTAATACATATTCCTAATTTACAATTAATTATAATTTTTTAAATCGAATATCAGATAATTAAGGGTCTAATTTATAAAATCGTTAAAATATGTAGTTAGTATTGAAAATTTGTAAAGTTTATGTGTAATGTAATATTTTGAGAACATTCTTTACAATTAGAGAATGAGTTTTTTGGTTGCAAATGAATTATTGTTTCATGTGATAGTTACTACAAAATAAGTTTAAGAATTCGTTTATCGATTAGAGATGGTTTTACAACACTAGATATGTTATCTTATCAGTTATCACTCCAATATTGTTAAAATCATTAATTCAAATATTGTCCTGATAAGTCGAGTGGTAAATCAGAGAGATTGGGATGAATGGATGGGTTGTAGGGAGCAATTGCATGCTGCTTACAGGGAAGAAGAATCATTCTGGTTGCAGAAATCTAGGGTCAAATGGTTGGCTGAGGGGGACAAAAATACTAAATTTTTCCAAGCTTCTGTGAAGCAAAGGAGAAAATTCAATTGCATTGAGAGATTAACTAAGCAGGATGGTTCTAGATGCAAAGGAAAACAAGAGAATCTGAATGAAATCATCACTTTCTTTAAAAATTTGTTTCAGACCTCTAATCCCCTTAGTGAGCCTGACTGCTTAGATGGAATCCCAGCCTCCATCACCTCTCAGATGAACAGATTGCTAACCAGAGACATTGAGGATAAGGAGATTAAAGATGCTGTCTTTAGTATGGATAAAAACAAGGCCCCTGGTATAGATGGAATGACAGTTCATTTTTACCAATCTTCTTGGGATACCATTGCTAATCATTTGTGTGCTGCTGTTAAGAACTTCTTTGCCAGTCAGAAAATGCCTAAAGGTTTGAATCACACTATTCTCACTTTAATTCCCAAAAAGCTTAATCCCAATACCATTGCTGATTATAGACCCATCAGTTTGTGCACTGTCATGTATAAAATCATCTCCACTATTTTGGCAGTCAGACTGAAATCTGTGCTTCATCATTGCATTTCCATTTCCCAATCTGCATTCATTCAAGGTAGGCAAATAATTGATAATGTCATTGTAGCAAATGAGTGCATTCATTTTCTAAACAGTAAGAGACAAGGGAAACAATGTTTTATGGCTGTCAAACTTGACATGTCTAAAGCCTTTGATAGGGTTGAATGGAACTTTCTTGCTAACATCTGCCTTAAAATGGGCTTCTCTGATAAGTTTGTGTCTTGGATTCTAGCTTGTGTATGCTCTGCATCTTTTTCTATAAATTTCAACGGATCTGTAGAGGGTTTCTTTCAGCCTACTAGAGGGATCAGACAAGGGGATCCCTTATCCCCTTATCTATTTATAATTATTTCAGAAGCCTTTTCAAACTTAATTCAGAAAGCCATCATTGATAAGGAATTTTCTGGGCATAATTTCAAAATTGGTCCTATAATTTGGCCACAGTCCAAAAAACCACCCCTATATTGACCACTATCAAAACTGGTCCTATAATTTCAAAATTTAATCAAATTTGGTCCTTTTTATCCGGAACATGGATTAAAATTTGATTAAAAAAGGACAAAATTTGATTAAAAAAGGACCAAATTTGATTAAATTTTGAAATTATAGGACCAATTTTGATAGTGGTCAATATAGGGGTGGTTTTTTGGACTGTGGTCAAATTATAGGACCAATTTTGAAATTATGCCGAATTTTCTGGGATCAAACTTAGCAGAAATGCTCCCACAGTGTCTCATTTGTTCTTTGCCGATGACTCTATTCTCTTTTGTAAAGCTGATCCTCATCATGCCTCCACTATTTTGAAAATCATTAAAACCTATGAGATTGCTTCTGGCCAGCTTGTCAACCTTGACAAATCCTCTGTATTTTTTTCTAAAAACACCCCTGATAGTGTGTGTACTGCAGTTAGCCTTATTCTGAATGGAATCTCCAGAGTCTCATCTTCTAAATATCTTGGTCTCCCCTTAGGTATTGGAAAAT